TTTGTGCTATAACGTATTTTTTTCTTTGCTTTTACCCATTTGATCATCCACACCAATAGAAAGCATTCCGAAATTAGGAAAAACAGGTCTTGTTTCACACCGGATGAGAATAGCCAACGGTGGCAAGTCTCACCCGGGGTGAGAGGTCGATCGTATTTCTATTCTCACCCCGGATGAGAGTAGCCACTTCCTTTTTCTAGAATCTACTTTAAAACTAAACTAAGGAAGTGGCTATCCTCACCCGGGGTGAGAATAGAAATACGATCGACCTCTCACCCCGGGTGAGACTTGCCACCGTTGGCTATTCTCATCCGGTGTGAAACAAGACCTGTTTTTCCTAATTTCGGAATGCTTTCTATTGGTGTGGATGATCAAATGGGTAAAAGCAAAGAAAAAAATACGTTATAGCACAAAAGTTTAATTTGATCGTCTTCAAAGATGCTATGGCTATTTCACTTTTCGAATCGAGCCGTACTACGCGGGTCGCCATTTTGTTTTGCCCGGAAGTTCTCGCAAGATCTACTCCTCCCCTCTTCTCTCTCTCTCTGTCTCTTTCTGAATACTGTCTATTAGCAATGCCCACGGAGCGCGTTTTGTTCTGCCTGTTTTTGGCCCCCACCGCAGGGGTGTTTCGTGGGACGCACTAATGCAAAGGTTGTTGTCTTCAACTCGCTCTCACGCCGCTTTTCGTGAATGGATATGAATTAAATTTGGCAGCCAATCAGAAAAGAGGTCAATCTCGTAGTATGCAGTTTGACAACTTTGTACCCTTCCAAGAAGTAGTCGAAAACGTTTGGGAAAGTGGTTGATGTGGTGCGCTTTGAAGATTTTTCGGAGCTGTGAGTTGTCAAACTGACTGATACATTGTACACCATTTTTCTTTATTCCCTTAAAATTTCATGCTTCTGTGTTAAGCGGTTTTTGCGTAATCTTTAAAAATGTGGGAGTAACTAAGGGAAAAAGCGACATTGCCGTTTGTGCGTACTGGGTGAACGACCGGCGGCTGGGAAATTTCCACTGAGTGATGTCATCAGCCATCGGTCGCCTCTGGCGCTACAAACGAGGTCCCGCTTATGTGAACCGGAAAGGGTGGGAAGGATACTTGAAAACTAAACGGGGGCCTTGATAACTTGCGTTTTTGTTGCATTTTAGTTTTAGTCACAATACAATAGATGTAGAGTCATTTTTATTTGCTTGATTGCATGATAGAAGAATAGAAACAGAAAAGCAAGCATCTTGAGAAGTGGTATGGCATTGTGTTTTCGTTATGAAAGCCTATTCCCCCCTCTGGGGAAAGCACACACTTGGACTGGTCCTGTGTGCTCTGTTTCGAAAAGTGAGGCATTAAGATTGTTATTAAAGAGTACGGTACTTATTTAGTCCAGTCTGGGAAGACAGTCCCGTTTATACATATTGATATCGTTCACGCTTGAGTGCGCGCGCGTGCGTGTGTGTGTGTGCGTGAGAGAGAGAGAGGGGGGGGGTGTAAATATGTTACATTTATAGTATGAGTTGTAGCCTACACATGCGAAATATTCCCATGACTTGTAAACTATATTATCTAAACGCATCTTAATCTACCACACAATAGGACACTGACCAACACTGGATATACACAGAGACAATCTTATTTTCTATTACAAAGTATGCTTGCTTTTACTAGTAGAGAACTGGATTTATTAGACTAATAAATCCAGTTCTCTACTTACATTTTTATGACAAATTGATCCAGAGCATTGCTTGGCAAGGAGAAACCTCTTATGTTGCCAAGTTCCATTCAAATATCATGACTTTGGGAGAAGATATAACTGATAATCTTTGTAAATCTGTAAAGAACGCCACTTTTTTACCTGTTAATGTCTTTACAACTCAAAAATTATGATAGATATTAAAAATTTGACAGCATGACTAGATTCTGCATTAAAAACTGTACTAAACTGCCAAGTTTCATTTACATACTCCATAAAATAGGCAAGCTATGACAAATATTGTCTCAAAACGCACCGAAAACCGCTACATTTTTACCTTATAAACGTCTTCATAACTCAAAAAGCAGGATAGCTATGAAAATTCTGAAAGCAGGACTAGATTCTGCACTAGAAAATGTACTGGGTTGCCAAGTTTCATTTAAATACTCCGAGAAATGAGCGAGTTATGACGAATATTGTCTCAAAACTCATCAAAGAACGTCCCATATTTTGGGGTTTTTTCATTATAAAAGTGTACCAAAAATTAATTGATTAAAAAATTCGTAACTTTTATGTTTATGATAGAGCTACAAAATGCACCTATTTGCAAACATTTTCTGTCAAAAAACGTTTTTCATGGTCATTGCTACTGTCTATCGGTGTGGACGATCAAACTGACCAAAACAAAGTTAAAAAATGATGTTTAAACACAAAAGTAAATTAATTTGATTGTCTACAAAGATGCTACGGCTATTTAACTTTTCGAATTGAGCCGCACTACGCGGGTCGCCATTTTGTTTTGCCCGGAAGTTCTCGCGCTTCTCTCTCTCTTTCTCTCTCCACTACCCACAGACAAAATTGTACGCTTTTAGGCTAACAACAGTAGTAATGGAACGTTTGTTCACGGCACAGAATTCTACAATTTTTCTGTTATAACAGTGTAAAATTCTGTGGTTCAGGGTGAACGCAAAATTGGTTGGCCTAGATCTAGGCTATCACTATAACAGTGAACGCACTCCGGGTGAGAATAGCCAAAAGACTCGCCTGCGCCATTGTCACCCGGGGTGAGAATAGAGGTGGCCTTCTACTAAATCTATTAACTTCTCAGTGTCCACAAAAATCCACCACTTGTCCCACCCTACACAATCTTATTCTTATTCAATTTGATTGTTTTTAAAACCATTGGCCTTAGATCTACCAGAGGGAGAAATATGAGAGCAACTGAATGAAAAAAATAATCAGAAACTAGATCTAGATCTAGATTAGATCTATCCCATTTTTCCCCCCTTTTGATAAGCGGCTGTTCCCAAGTTCACAACAGGTGTGAAATCCGGAGAACTGGAAAAGTTATTCGATTTTCCACGCACTGTGTTAGTGACTGGCTAAATTTAAATGTAATCTGCTGAGAAGAATGGGATGCCACCCTCTTTTAAAAAGTAGCCTACTAGACAATTTGAAGACAATTTTAATGACTCTTAGAATCGGTGAGGACTTTTCTGTTGGAAGAGAACATTAATTTTTTAACGTTTTCCTGGTTCCCCTTGAGACAGAGTAAATTTATATGCAGCTTTCATTAAAAGTTGAGTCAAGAGTAGTGAATTCTTTTCAAGTCTAAATTAGTCTTGAGGTTAAAAGTTAATAATCATTGATATTGACCATGTTTTACCATTTGCTTTTTCTTATAGGTATGTACCATCACAGGCAGATATTGTTGTGTATGGAGCTGTTGGGAAAGCTCCTGCAGCAAACCTTGCCCATGCTCTGAGATGGTATAACCAAATAACATCTTACCAAAGTACAAAAGACAGGTAAGAAATTAAGCAGATCTTTTTCTAAATCAATGTCTAAATTTCTGCTATGGATGCTACTTTGATGTTCATGTTAACTGTTTGAATTAATTGAAATTGAAGACAGCTTGTAACTGATGATTGTACTGTGACAACAATTTCTTAAAATAGATAACAGCCAAACCCTGTTAGAGTGCCTGCCTTGGGACGAGCATGAATTGGCAGTACAGTGGGGCTGGTGGTCTAATGGGATAGCACCGATTGCAATCTTGGCTAGTTATAGAGAATCAACTAGAGGTAAATTGTGGCCAGTCTTGGCTCATCTAGATCTACCATGCACAATTGCCATGCACCGGGTAAAATGAGTAGCAACCAATTACATATTGAAAATTCTTACTGAATCAGAAGCTGGGCTATATTTAATAATATTATGTGTCAAAGATCCTGTAGGCTTACATTTTTTTAAAACCCGACACTCTGGATCCCCAGGCCGCCTCAGACCTTTCACATCCAGAATTGTGTGTCTTCTCCCTCTCTATATAAATTAAATACCTCACGGGTGACCGCCAGCCTCGTGGTCATCGGGCTGATTCTGGTGACACAAAATATTTTTCCTACAGACTTGAGGTGGAGCAGTTCCTTTTAGTTTCTCCAGACGAATTGAAAATTTAACTCCAGCTTCTCAAAAGAAATATTTGCCTAATATTTTCTAAATCAGCGCAAATCAGGAGTAAACTGGCATCAAAGGCTAGAAATAGGCCAAACTCATTGTCTGCCATTTTGTCCTCTGTAGCTTTCACATATTAGCACTTTCCACTCACACAGTATGCAGAGCGCACAACCTTTGCTCCCACATACCAGGATGCAGATCGGGTACATCAGTACTATATTTTTTTCTTGACAAAAATACCCCAATCGTTATGAACTTTTCAGCACATTGGGGAAATTGAATGTAATGATCATGTTCACCAAAAAAGGAATTAAAATCAGAGAACTGAAAACATTAGATCCAGCACATTCATCACCTGAATTCATCATGGCGTCAGTGTTAAACAGCACTCATTCATGCCAGGTCTGATTGTTGTATACACACCTATTTTCACCCTCAAAGTCCATAGAAACTATTCAGAACAGAATTTTAACTTTTACAAGTGCGCATGTCTAAAAGGAGTTCATTCCTACGGTTTTGTAGCTATATCATACTGACGGCGCTCCGTGGGGGCAAAGTGTTACGGTGCCATTGCAATTCATTGTCGCAACTGACCTTTCACTTACAATATGTGGGTGGTTGGCAGGTGCTGCTCTTTTTCGTGTTTGTTACTCTCTCTCTCTTGTAACAACTCTAATTCCCCCCGGGGCAGTGCCACTGACTGTAGTGTCTTTAGGCCATTCCCAAATGGGGGGACACTTCTCGTTCAAGTTCAAGCACAGTAGGATTGTAAATGGGCTGATTCATGTCACGTTCATAACTGTGCCTGATCTACAACAGGGAACTGCTGCTTTTTCTTTCCTAATCCTTACTATTGTCATTGTCCTCTACTTCTTTTGTATGTTTGTCACTCTCTTGTGACCTGCTACTTCCGGGGTGCCTTGATAGTGGAAGCAGACCTTGTGCTGTTGAAGCTAGATAGGTGAGCAGAGTAAGTCTGATTCCCTGTAAAGATTTGTCTGTTGACATCCATCTCTCGGCGCTCATATGACCTTTTGCAGTTTCGAGCGCTGTAAAACCCTCTACTATAAAAAAACCCAAAAAACCACCTCTAATCTTTGGCACTTATATGTCCTTATTGTGTTGCAAGTGCCGCACAAGGCGTACTTAACCAAAAAAAATTTCAATACCTCTTAGGACATTTTGATTTTGTTACAGTTTGCCAGGAGTTAAGAAACCTGTTGATTCCTATGGACCTGCCGGCAAAGCCCCAGCTGCTGCTGCCCCAGCTGATGATGATGATGACGATGACGACGATTGTGATCTTTTTGGTTCTGATGATGAAGACACAAAAGTTTTGAAGGCCAAGCGTGTCGAAGAGTACGCTGCCAGAAAAGCAAAAAGTATGTCATTTTTGCTCTTTGATCTTATTTGTAATAATAAAATGCTAATTAATGTCTACGCCTAGCTTTGGTGTGTATTGTTTATTCATCAGTACAGTAGAATATTGTATTAGTGCAGGCAATGGTTAGCATTATAATTTTTCTGGAAGGTTTATGTTGTTATAGCTTGTTCACTTTCGTCTGACCGGGGTTAAAATAGTCAAATGAAATCGCTGTTTGATTTTCTTTGATCTTTGCATACTGACCTAAAAGTTGGATGACCAACAGAATCTAAAACTCCATTTATAAAGGTCTCTGCAAACTAAGGTTCCAACAAGTTTTCTTTGATGATAGCCTAAAGCGGATCAAAAGAATAGGGATTACAGCATATCCTAAAGCCAACACCACACTTAAATATACGCCTAAGAGACATGATTCAAGAGACAGTGTGAGTAATTTTCGAGACAGCTGGGGGATGAAATCTACTTGTAAGCTTATCACTGAAATGTGGGGGCAGGGTGGTGTCGCTGTCTCAAAATGAGTAATTTGTAGGCGAGGTTACTCTTAAGTCATTTATTTTAGTGATCCTGTGTATGTATGGAAAGAGCAGATTTTTATATAAGGGCCAAAGAGAAAACTTTCTTAACTGGATCAAGATTTGAAGGGGGGGGGGGTGATTGTTGTTCTTTTTAACTCGGACAGACGAAAGTGAACAAGCTATAATAAGCTTTTACTGGTGGCAATAATTGACTGCACTTACACTTGTGTGTCAGTAACATGCAGTTTCCTTCCAACCTTGAGGGTTTTACCCTTGAAGCTAGTGTCTTCAGGCAACATCGTGTTGTTTGATCCCCTCCAGCTTGCAGGTGGATTGCTCTATGGATTGGGCTCACAGTCCTGATGCAACGTTCATTGCTCTCCCTGCTTTCATTATTAAAACATTTTTAAATCAGTTGCTGAGATTCATTGCAATGAGAAATACATGTGGTTTCCAGTTGACAAAATGGAGATTTCCCATGTCATCGAATTACAACTGTAAAATGGGGTGTGGGGGTGAGCAGCAGAAATGAAACTCTTACTTCATAATGATTCATAAGGATGTTTCTTTGTCTTTCATCATCAGTTGCACAAATAGATGCATCTGAAAGATTGAAAGCATAATTTTTTTAGGAAGTCTTAAATTTATTACTACCTGCAAGCAGGATTGGTGTACTGTTCTCAAATCAAGGGCTAGATGCAAGACTCTGACAAAGAGCATGATGCAATTTGATGTTTGTCAAATTATTGCACTCAGCCATTGAAATGTTCACAGTGTCCTTGTTCCCACCTCCAGTCTTCAGTGCTTCTGTTAAAGTGTGCCTTTGAAAATTATTTGTTATTATTAATGTTAAGACATCTTGAAACTTGTTTTCTCATCCACGTAACTTTTGTATTTTTCTAACAAAATCTGGTTTATTGTACTTCTCTTTTGTACCAGAACCTGTTTTGATTGCCAAGAGTAATATCATTTTGGATGTGAAACCTTGGGAAGACACCACTGACATGGCTGAAATTGAGAAAAACGTAAGGAGTGTTGCAGCTGATGGCCTTCTTTGGGGAGCCTGTAAGTATATATTTCACTCTTTAATATAGACCTGGATGTTTTCAGGCAGTTGCCTGATTTCCGGCAATCGCATAATGGGGAAATTTACCTGCTAAAGGCTAATAAAGTACTCAAATTGGCCACTAGAGTCGGTTGCCGGTTTTTCGTCGAGCCTGAATTCCGCCTAACTTAAGATTTGTGAATGCCAACTACCAAAGCCGACATTCCAGCAATGATTGCCTGAACTTTAAGGGAAAATACGAACGTGAATTGTAACGACGACTTTTCAGCACAGGCCGTGTGCAGGGGTGTGCTTGGAATCTTCGTCTTGTTATCAATGGCGGTGTTTATAAATGAACCTTAGGCTTTGCACGATATCTGTGAATCAAGTGTGGACTAGATCTAAATTTGATTGCAAATTTCTAATTACATGTATGTGTAGTTCCAGTTTCTGCAGTGTTTAAATATTTTAGATCTATGAAGATAGATTAATATATCATTAGAACGTCTAGAATCTAGATTCTGATCTAGAGATTAGACTGATTTCATCATGACTGAACAGTTCGTTGCATTGAATGGCCACAAAGTGAAAGCAGTCTCACCAGCCTTCTCCCTAAGTATAAGAAACAAAAGAGATGTTAGAGACAGTTGGTGATCAGAGGATTTTGCTTGTAGGATGAAGGGTACAGTATTGTGAGTACATTTTTTGTTTAGCTTATTTAAACGAATCCTTATCTTAATTTTAGGTAAACAAAATGTTAATTTTTATCAATAAATAAATTATACTAAAAAAATTAATGTGCTAGGAGATAGGGGTTTAGGTATTGGTGAAGATGAAAATAAAGTGAACAAAATGTTAATTATTAATATAAATTGATATAATTCAAGGAAAATGTGCCGGGAGACAGGGTTTTGGGCTTTAATTGTGATGAAAATGTTTTAGCTTCACGGGGACTTTGTCCCCCTGACCCCCTGTCAGGGCTGTGCCTTGGACCTGATACATTCATAATTTTCAGGCCATTATACTCTGCATTACATTCAGGTTTATTAACTCATTCGCTACGCCGAGCCGTGGGGGGCGGCGCGGCTAGAGTGCCGTCAGTACGCAAAGCCGCCCCCGGCGGCTCGAGAACTGACGTTCAATTTTAGCTTGGTTTCTATTCCAATCCACATATCCATGTTAAAATAAAGGTCATAATATAAAGTTGACTTCCGGGTCAAGTGTTTCCACCGAAAATCGGAAGTTTTGATTCAGTTTTGAAACAGGATTTCGAAGTTTATGCGACATTGCTTTATCGCGAAGCCCAAATTATAGCCAGACACCAGTCTTTGTACTTTTACACTACAAAATGTATCATTATTTTGCTCACTAAAGAAGTGTAGGACTCTTCTTATAATATTGATACTACTGGACTCAAATTGCCAGTGCACTGTAATTGAGAAATCAATATTTGTGAGTGCTAGATCTAGGCCTAGATCTAAATAGTCAAAATATTTTTTTTCTCCCCAAAATCACTACTTTTTGGTGAATTTACTCAAAAAGTACCACCCAAGACATGTATAGGTTTATTCCAAATGCAATTCTGAATAATTCCATATAAGATACGAGTGTTTTTTTCTGTTTGGGATCCTTTTTTCAAAATTATTTAAAACATTTTTTTTTTCAATATCGCAGGTTACGATCCAAATGTACAAATATTATGGAATGTATGTAAATAACTGCTCATTTTTCAATATTCTCCTGTTCTATATACAGTTATGGTTATTTTGATGTATAATTTGACTAGGTGCAAACATATTTTTTGAGTTTCATCTGAGATTATAAATTTTTTGTTTTCAAATTTTATCCGCAACCAATCACAATTGTGTTGCATAATCGCCTCTTACAGGAACCAAAGTTGAAAAATACTCAAAAAAACATTACAGATGTATTCTACAAACCATACTGAAAATGTTGGTATATAATATGTTGATATTTATTTGAATTTATGGCCCCCAAGACCTGTGAACTGCGCACTAGTCATCATCTCATTTCATCCTCGCCCTCCCGAAAGAAATTCGTCTACAAGCCGAAAATAATACGTAGCGAATGAGTTAATACTATTCAGTGATTGTCCAGTTATTGGCTTCTAAAGAAGCAAAACAAAGTGGAGGGAGGGGGGTGTCTCAATGATGTTGGGTGTGTTTGTTTTCCATTGTTTCTTACTTATAGTAACTTCATGGATTTCTTTTTCCTCTGTAGTTTAATTATTAAATGGTTTGCAGATATGACAACTGCACAGATCAAATCAGATCTTGTATTTTGTTTAATTGTCATAGAACATCAAGGTATCTACTCTTTGAAGCACCACCCTTCCCTATAGTGTGCTGGCTGCAACTCACAATCAGTTTTTGTATTGTGGATTACAAGAACAAGAAGTGAATGTTGAACCCTTCATGAAATTCACGTTAGATTTACAATTATGGGCAGGAAAAGATTCAAATAGAACTTTTAAAGATTCAAATTGTGTGAGGTCAACTGATAGAAACAGACAGATTCTGACGAAACATTTTCCGATGCAAAATGTGCATTGTCTGTGGATTGGCAGCTTGAGTCTGAAAGGACATGGCAAGATATGCTCTGTTAAATAATGCCATGCAGTTATTGGTTATGTTTAGTAGAGGTTTTACGGCACTCGCAACTGCATAAGGTCATATGAGCGCCAGAAGATTAGAGGTGTTACAAGAGAGTAACAAACATAAAAAAGAAGAAAGGGAAATAAGGACGATAGATGTTTGATAGGAAAGAAGAAGCAAACCACACCAGAGCACCCGCCAACCACCCACCAGAGGTTAAAGTTTTAACTACAGTGGAAACCATAACAGGCCCGGTAATAACAGGGATATTTTAATTCCCCGTTTTTACCTACTCTTTGTCTGAATTAAAGGTTTTCGGTAATAACTGGGCCTCATCGGGGCTTAATCGGTTATAGCAGGGACAAAGGCTCTTTAACAATATGTAAAGAGAGAGAGTAATGCAGTGATCGAGCAAACCACACCACTGCAAGCACATGCTGCAGGTGAAGCGAGAGAGGGCTGCGGTGTGCTGCAGACTTTGATCTAGTACACGCGTGCGTAGTGCGTCAGGCGTAGGCCTGCCAAGGGAAATTACCCATGAATAAATACGGCTGTATTAGTCCACAAATGCTTACTTCTCTTGCATGTCTGATTTAACAGGGATATGATATACCAGGACCTTTCCTCTGGTCCCACCATCCCCGTTTTGTCAGGTTTCCACTTTATTTAGTTCATCAGTCCTAATCTTGCAGTTTATTTTATTGGGTTTTGTCCAGGTTATACATGTTCAAGTTTGCTTTTAACATTTATTGACGTTTGTTACTTTTTGTTCTATATTATTTTTACCGTTTTTCCATCTTCAAATTTAAAAAAAATAAAATTTTTAAGCCTCTTTCTCACGTTTGATGGGTGAATAGAGAGTGACAAGCTGACCTGGTTTTTAAATATATGTATACATGGTAAATTTCATTTTAGCATTTAATTTACTGTTTTTCTGTTTCCTATTTGAAAGTTGTGAAACAAATGATAATTTCATTCTGTATGTGTGTCCTTGTTCCTTAAAAAATATGGGTTCTTGATTTTGATTTTTGTTTTTGAAAACCAAGAAAAACAAGTTCTTCATGAAGATATTACAATGTGTTTCAGCAAAATTGGTGCCTGTGGGCTATGGTATCAGGAAACTCCAAATCTCCTGTGTTGTTGAAGATGACAAGGTGGGTACTCTTGTTTTTTCTTTCTCCTAAGTTCATTAGATGGCCACAAGCCGCATCTGTACAGTCAAACCTCATTCCATGGACTCGAAACCCTTAGCAGGGCTAATAGGGCCTATTATACCTAGGTTGATATTAATTATCATGACAAATAAATAAGCTCATTATTTGATTCTCTTTTAACTCACTTGCGACTGGGCCCTTTCACCAGTCACAAGCGTTGAAGACTGGCGTTTTTGGGGTATCTCAAAAAATCACCACAACTCTCAGAATTACCCTATTGTAATCATTTTTTGACACAGTAAAGTAACATTCAAGCTTAATCTAATACAAAAAATTAAAGTTGTCTAAGTCTAATACTTTAATTTGTATGATTTTTTAAAAATTGGCATGAATTTGATTTTCCGAAAAATTTCCAGAGACGTGACAAGTAGAATGAAATTCACTGCAACAACAAAAATAAAAGTTCAAAGTGTTCTGGTTTGATTTGTATACATGTGCGAGTGTTTGGTGAAAATATTAGAGCTGGTCTGTGCATTGATTCAGACCCATACACTGAATTACATGAGACAGATGTACGGCACGACGTTGTGATTTCTTTGCGCGAAAAACAACACTGGTACTAGTGCTAGATCTAGCCCTAGAACTACGACTCGGGCCGTGTTCGAGTACATATCCAGGATCCTAACTATTAGACACATCATATTCTGAGACACTAGAACTAGTAAAACGCACAGAAGTATAGAAAACGGCGAAATTATGTGATTCTTGTTCATGCGACTTCTTCGACCGTTACTACGACGCGACTGTCAGATTACTATCAGCTGTATAGAAAAAAACAAAGCGCGAGTTCCGGTCTGTTCAACCCCAGTTGGGGTCACTGTCCTTCACCTTCAATAACTTAAAAACTACCGGCCCCAGAGATACGAAACGAAGTCTTAAGTAGCTCAGGCTTGGCCAAACAAGGGTACGAGGCGGGTCTCGCGATCCGTGCGTGATTTGTAGAGCGAAAAAAAAAATTCCAAAGTTGGTCACGCAGGGCTTGTGAGAACCGTCGCGAGCGTTGCGGCGGGGGTCACGCAACTGTTGTGTGACCCGTCTGAAGTGAGTTAATGTACAGTGGAGTCCACCTATAACGAGTCCTGAAATGACGAGAAGTCTGTTATAAAGACACTATTCTGAAACCCCGGGTTTTTTTCTCTTCTTTATCTTTGTAAATAAAGTACTGCTATTGCGCTATCAGACAAACGTGCGAGTCGGTTATAGTGGAATATTGCTGCTGCTGTGTACAGTGCATAGGCCAATTATATATTATGTAAAACCTCACCAGTTGAAAAACTTGTTGGTAATCTAGCGAAACAAAGAATGGGAGAGCCCATGTATGTGAACAATGAAGACCGGAGCGACTGTGTAGGGAGGGTGTGGCAGGCGCAGAAAAGCAGAACTCTACGCGTGATAGGCCAGCCTCTCATTTCACGGATGCGGGGATGGAGAGGTCACAGCAATATGATGGAACGAATGTGTGACGTGCGCAAGCAGACGGAATGCACCACAGGGTATGGTGGGGTGGGGGAAAACACAGCGGGCGAGTTGGCCCAGAGCCCTTTCTTTCTGATCGCCCCCTTTCTTTCTGATCGCCAACGAACTGTCAGTAAACATTGCTGGCGCTAGAGAAAGAAACCTGATTCGATTTTTGATCAAGTAAGATCTAGAGGTCATGTTGAAACAAGATCATCACCTGGGCAGATAACAAAAAGAAATAAACAGACCACCAGACTCATCGATTAGGCCTTTTTTACTGTTTTCCTTGAATTTATTACTGGGTCCCTTATAGCGAGAATCCTGCTATAACGGACATTTTGCACCGGTCACCTCCCTCTCGTAATAGCAGGATTCCACTGTATAGCTTTTTTATAAAGTTCTTTTATAACAGGCTTTCAGACAGACACTGTTGACTAATAACAGCCATCAAAATAATCCTAAAGTAAACGGACAAAAAAGCAAATAAAGTGAAAACAGCTAACATTGATGACGTACTGCACTCGTGTACAGAACTATGATGTATCAATCCATGTGTTCAGGGGAAGTAGGAGGCACCTGGACACACTTTGGTGTTGATGTAAATCCAGACAATGACAGAATGACCTTGATCTAGCACATTGTCTCCCTGCTGAGTGACGAAACTCGTTACAGGAATGAATGATTGAATGAAAAATAGGCGCAAGCTGCAGGATCTACCACAGATCTATGTGAGGTGCTTTTCCCAAACGTAACTACAGTCAAACATGGTTAGGCTACCTACGTTGGGATGATCATAAGGGTGGGGGTACAGTGGGGCTGGAGGTGCATCGGCGTTTTCATGTCCTCTGTTAAATATATGTCGCACCGACTGCCCAATGTCAAGGGAACTTGTTTACCAATCGCTAGATGAATTGAGTTATCTCCCTTTGATCTGTCACGACTTGAGCGTGCGTCTTCACTAAATGGGGGAGGGAGGAGGTTCCTGTAACACTTTCCCATGACAAGTCTCATAAAGTAAAAACCCTTGCCATCACAAGCATTTGGGGTGAAATCCAAAGAAACTGGGTGGTAAACATCGCCGATCAGGGTTTTGTATAGGGAGCAGAAGTTCAGCGTTCTTGCAGATTGGCGAGATGTGACGTGACGACAAACTCCAATTTTTTAATTTAAAAAAAAAAAAATTGACCAAGGTCTAAAAATAGCATTTTCATAATCGGCGTATCACATTTAGTAGGACTCACAGGGGGAACAAAATTTGATGCTGAATTACAAAATTATGTTTTATTTTAATTGTACTCTTCTGCCTTACATTATATTGTATTGCGTTTGCTTGCGACACACTATATCACTGTAGTTTTATCCATATTGCCTGAAGAAATCTACACGACAAGGGTGGGGAGGTGGGATGGGCGGGCAGGGAGCAATCGGCGAAAAGCCTTTGATCTAGACCTAAGCCTAGCTCATAGACTTGTGAGTGGAAGATTGTCAAGCAACCACTGAGTGGATGTGACGTGCGCCATGTGTAGACTAGTGTGTACTGTGTACTTCTGGCAGTACAACGGGGTAAATTTACAGTATTTTAATCACGATCGTACAACTGGTACAGATGGCAGTGTAAAGGCACAAATACTATGTTTATTTATGTAAGTATAAGGGATTCTTTTCATACATTGGAAAAACCTGGCAGTACAGTGAGGAGGAGGGGGGGGGGGGTACACAATGAGGTTTGGCTGTATTTGAGTGAGACTTTTTATTAAAGTACACAGATCTAGTTTTATATATTTATATATATAATGTATTTATATGGTCTTTTTTTTAACGACATTTTTTCAATTCTTTCAACAGATCAGCACAGACTTTTTGGAGGAAGAAATTACCGCTTTTGAGGATCTTGTCCAGTCTGTTGATATCGTCGCATTTAACAAAGTTTAAAAAGTTAATAAATGGATTGAAAATGCTCTTTCATTTTCCCTAAAATTCGTCTCTTTTCTTGTTTTTATCCCTTTTTGTGTTTTTTAAAATCTACCACCATGCAGCTTAGTCTTACTCTGTGTCTCAAAATTACAGACGAAAGTAAATTGCTTCCCATGATAGTGGATGGTTGGCGAGTGCTCTGGTGTGGTTTGCTCCTTCTTTCCTGTAAAACATCTATCATCTTTATGTCCCCTCCTTCTCTTTTGTGTTTGTTACACCTTTGTAACACCTCTAAATCTTCGGCACTTATACTACAACCTTATTGTGTTGCAAGAGCCGTAAAACTCTTACTAAAAATAAAGCTTCCCATGATAAGAGGCCACATGTCGTGCAAATGTAAGCTGAAAGGCCACAATAGCTGCCATTTATCATGACATGGTATTGAGGACATGGGGTGGGAATCCCTGAGGCCAAGCTTTCCCCTTCACAAAAACTCTGGCAGGAGAAAGGATTCCTTTTTATTGTCCCTTTTGACAAAGCAACATCTGAAGTTGCAAGGGGGAATATGCCTACTGCCTTCATCTGCTACACATTTTCCGTTTTTTAAGATTGCTGTTTTCCTGCTTTGTGAACTGAGGTAGTTATTATTGGTTAAACTTAAATAATTTTTAAAATGTTATATAACACTTGAAGGGAAAGAGTGTTCATTAAAAGAGGTACAATCTTTCTTGGCATCCTGATACATTACTCCGGTACTGTATAAGCAAGTTGGGGAAGGCACCTTTTTCAACTTTTGAATAAGTTATTGGTTGCACTGTATTTGTAGCAGTTGCGAGCGCCGTAAAACCCTATACTATACTGTATTTGTTGAGCCATTGGGAAAAGCTGGCAGAATTTGTAACGGAAAGGTTGAATTGGCACTTTCTGTTTATGAAGAAGTGTACAGCAGCACAATATGTACACAGTGATTTTTTTTTCTTCTAAACATGTCGCTCTAAAAGTGTTCTGGGAACATTGTAATGTATAAAAGATGTAATTCATTCTAAAGAAATTTGTTTAACATAATATCTCTATAAAAAAAAGAAACGTATTTCAATAACTGAAATTTCTTAGTATAAATAAAAAGCACGAGTAAACAAAAAATGCACCAATTTTTAGAGTAAATTTTGTATGGAAGGTCATGAGACAATTGATTTTATTTTTTTTCATTTTCACTTTGTCATTTAATTTTTACACCCTTGTGACATCCAAACTATTCCTTTCTCATTCAGAACTAATCTAGTATTATTTTGGAATTTCTAGAACTTTAATTTTACGTGTTCTCCTTGGGACTTGGTACATTTTTTAAACACGTCGTTTGAAATGTTTAATGGCAGCCAAACACAAGAATCTGCCAAACCGGGAATGCTTTATGCCACCCACATTGTACACATTCCAATTCCAGTGTCAAGTGGCTTCTGGAGACAATGGGGGGGGGGGAGCAAATATGTTTATGTTCAAGAAGATGATCAAGGAACCACGGACACATTGCCATCCTCTGATCCTCATCAGCCTTGAGAAGTGTTTGCTTAACTTAATTAATGTTATTATAGTCACTAGTCACATGTTGAGATCTGCTTTGAGAATGCAGACCATTGCGGTTGTGGTGTAGGAAAGTCATTGCTGCAGGCATCATCTGCAGACAAACTCATGTGATTCAACTACAATGTACTGATTTCTGCACCCATGGTGTTGTTTAAAGGGGTTCCTATGTTTTCTGTTCCACCTGACCTGAAGTGATCGTTTTTCCTGGGAATTTTTTGTTCTGATTCTCTATAGATTCAAACTGACAGAACTTCTCTGTCCATGACAAAGACCTCGAGGGTAGGCCTACTTAAGCATTTTCAGATGGTGGAGAATCTAATGGTTAATTGAAAATGCTCTCTGCTCTTTACTAACCTGAACCATGATCTCGGCAGTCGGAAGAAACTAGAGAAAACTATCTGCAAACTTCTGTTAGTGATAGTGTTAGAGTTAGACTGCTCCAGCTTGCAATATGGTTTAATTGTCGCCACTTTTACTTTTAGTGTGGGCCTACTGCAAACCGGGCGTCATGAAATAAAATGGGGACAAGTTAGAATATAATATGTTTCTTGTAAAAGTTTTACGGCACTTGCAACACAATAAGGTCATATAAGTGCCGAAGGTTAGAGGTGTTACAAGAGAGTAGTAATAAACAAAAAAGGAGGAGGGGAGATAAGGACGACAGATGTTTGATAGGAAAGAAGGAGCAAACCACACCAGAGCACCCTCCAACCACCCGCTTAAATATGGGTGGTTTTTTATTCCTAATAACGAGCAAAACTATTCTGAGGAATTATCTAAAAGGAAAATCGGCCAAATTTCTTTTGAATTTTAAATATTGAGTTCAAATTTGAAACGCAAAGCTTTAGTATGGAGGAAAATATTACTAGAAACGTAAAGGTCTTGTTTTTCTTTTCACCCTATACAGAACTTGATGCCAGTGGTGCAAAGTGAGGTAGCATGATAAATTCCACAATGGAAAAATAAAAGTGCAACCTACCAACCAGTCTGTGACGTTTCTTTGCATGAAAAAGATGCTGTGACTATATGAACCTCTACTACAGTGGCCAATGTAATGCAGTACAAATGGGTGTTGGTTACAAGCTTTACAAATGGTTGAATGAGATTAAAAGGGTTCTGTCTGTATTGTAGATACTTTTGAGATATATTCAATATCAAAGATTATGAGATTAAAACGCAAACATAACTACTTTTAGAGCCTTTTCATGTGTATTTTTCTCGGAGCAGTTTAAATGAAATGCAGATCACCATGCTGTGTGCTGCTGATAGAAACCACATCCAAACCGTAAATCAAAACGTCTACAAAATACAGATAGAACCCTTTTAATCTCGCGTGAAAATAGATCTATGTTTGGAAGTTGTCAGGCTCAAATTCTGACTGGGGTCCAAATATTTTTTGTTGTTTCTCAAATGTTTTTCTTCAGTCCTGTTCTGCATTGAGTCTTACTTTGAATAGGAGCAATAACAATTTTCATTGAGTTTCAACTCAAATTTATTCAATAGCAAAGTGTAGAAATTGCAAAAATACATAGGGTCATATATTCAAGCTTTGTTGGATAATGAGTTGTTCTCTAACTACATGTACTCTGTTAATTTGATTGCTGCCCTTAAAACAAGTCAGCGTCTAAATATGGCCATGCTATAATAAAGTGGAGTCCATGGTTGATTCGAAAACAGCAGAAAACTAAAAGAAAATCAATCCCCTGATTTTGTGTCATCTTCGATTGCCTTTGTAAGAAAACCACCAATAAGCCGAAATGCTCACATTTATATATATATATACAAAAAAAAAGAATTTCAAGGGAAATGTCACCAAAATCTTCATTATTAGCATCCTAAATCACTGTTTGCATCCTAAATCACTGTTTGCTGATGACACTGTGGGTGGTTGGCGGGTGCTCTGGTGTGGTTTGCTCCTTCTTTCCTATCAAACATCTATCATCCTTATCTCCCCTTGTTCATTTTTATGTTTGTTACTCTCTTGTAACACCTCTAATCTTCTGGGCGCTCATATGACCTTGTGCAGTTGCGAGCGCTGTAAAACCTCTACTAAAACTAAACTGACACTGCATTGTGGATTAAAGCCAAACATGCCCCCGGAAAGAGAGCAAAAAAGAAAACCACTTTCATTTAAAAAACTATTGAAAATCCAACAAATGTCCCCATCGAGACTCTTACAAATCTTGGATTTAAAATAAATATTAACAAAACCCAAGCAATCTTCTTTAACCAAAAACTATGCCCAGATCTGCTGATAAATGGAACAAATGTCCATACTACAAAATCAGTAAAATACCTAAGAGTAGGAGTTCCGTTTCACAAATTCTTCCAGTTTAAGGAGCATATAGCTGAAAAATATGAGAAAGGAATCAATACCCTTAATATTTTGGAATACACAGCAGGAAAAACCTTTGTGACAAATTCAAAAATAAAAACATTGATATACAAAAATCTGATACTACCAAGACTTGCCTATGGAGAGGAAATGTACGACCAGGGAGCAAAAGGTCAACTAAAGAAACTGGACACCATTCAAAATTCAGCATTGAGAATAATCATCACCAATTCTACACGCGCTGCAAGCAGCATGGCTTTATCAGTCATGACCAAAATCCCCCCTCTTTGGATAAGAAGGCAGGAAAGCAAGGTCCAACTATGGCATAGAGTAAATTATAATAAAGAAAACAATGCTAGGAATGTCTACAGAGACAGAATAATCAAGATAGCAAACAAACATCTCAAAACTAAAACCGGCATTGCAGAAAGCACACAAGCAATTATGGGAACTTTGAAAGTTTAAAAAAAAATGTCCGCCTTACTGAAACAAGAACTACCCTTATGGAAATATTGTGACATTAATGTGGACCTAACACTAAAGAACAAAACAAAAAAGAGAGAAGACAAATATGCATCAATGAAAAATATTACATTAAAACATATTCATGACTTATATAGTAATCATATCCAGTATTTCACTGATGGATCCAAGGAGGATGAAAGTACTGGACCAGAATTCTATGTTAAAAAAACAAAATATCCGGTCGTATTCACGAATAACAGATTATACTTCTATTCTTACTGCTGAACTGATAGCGATACAAGGAGCAATGAAACAGGCGTGCAGTAATGAATTGGACAGGGATATTCTTATACTCACTGATTCTCTCTCTGCAGCCCAATCACTTGGGGAACCTCACAGAAATCATGGAAGATTTGACATTCTCCAGGACATAATTGAATTACATGAACAAATATTAACTAACGGAAAAAGGGTTACCATTATTTGGAACCATCACATTGCGGAATGAGATGGCTGATAAGCTTGCAAACAAGGGAAGAATGCAAAAGAAAGAATATATAAATACAAAACTGGGACCCCTTGAAATGAAAAATCCTTTACACCAAAGAGTAAAAGAAAACATTTTTCAGACTGCATGGACAAATTCAAAGACAGGCACATTCTTTAAAAAGATAGTACCAA